GATTCTTCAATATAATAAAGACATATAAACATGTTATTCTAGCATTTGTTTTCAAATTAAAAACAAATATATAAACTACTTTATTTTTTTTTAATGTCGCAAATTATTTAGATTATCATAGTACTTTACTTTTATTTGGCAGATATTTTATTTTAAATTTTAAAGTGCTACCAAGAGTTGTTAGTTTAATAGCGATCCAACTAAACTTATAATTTAACCCACTAATTGGATAGCGAATTCGAATTCTAAATTGGATTAGTTGAATCTATTAGGACTTCAAACACTGGTTTGGTATCTAAAAAAATTCAAAATGCTCCTGGGAATTATTTAAAACAAAGAAAAGAATTTTTGAGCTAAATTAAATTAAATTGAAAAAATTAATATGTCAATTGATTAAGTTAAATTTATTGATAAATTAAAAAAATTATGGATAAATCAAATGGGCCCTCAAAACTCTGGCTGGATTGATTTTTTGGTGTACATTCTTTTGTTATAGTCAGTTAACCTATATATAATTACTTGAAAATTGAAATTAGAGTGACTTAAATTGCATTAACTGTTCGGTAGAGCACGTCATCTCGACCTGTAATTAATATCTTCTTCGTTTATCTAAAATAAATACTCAACATGAGCGACAACCTAACTAAAATATATGACATGCAAAATATCAATCCAGACAACATTTTGGTGAGATATGAATAAAAGGAAAAATGTTTCCGCTAGAAATTATCTGCATTTATTTTTAAAACGACGTCGTTTTGGTATTAAAATCTTAAAAAATTATAAATATAAAGATTATTATAACCCTAAAATAAATTAAAATTACAAAAATATCATGATTTTCATCCCAAAACGACGTCGTATTGGCTTACTGCAGATAACTTATCTGCAATAACTGCAGAACAAGCGAACCCAGGAATAAAACATTATTCTTGTTTGTTAACATGAAAATGGATTTTAAAGGGCTGGCAAAATTGGGAACTCGTTTCCCTCAATTCGGTTCAGAAGTCTTTTATGTTGTTTCTATTGTAGCCAATGCCAAAGTAGATATAAATGTATCAAAGTAGATATATATCAAATTCACAAAACCGATTTTATATTTAAAATTGGTTTTTAATTAAAACAAGTATTAAATCAAAATCGATTGTGAACCATAAACTGATTTTGGAATCGGTTTCAAACCGGTTCGGAAAAGTATGCTGCAATCAATTTTCTTCATCTCAATTCACTTTATTTTAAACTGTGATTGATTTTGCAGTTTCTATTTAGTTTATGTGTCTCTTAAAACTGAAAAACTACAAAAAAAAAAAAAAAAAAAAAACATTTATAATTATGCAATTTATAATTTATTGCACTTTGCATTAACTTTTTTTTCCAAGATTCTGATAAATTTTACTCTAATTTTCTGTTCATCTGAACAGGCCAGGGTTGAGGGTAGCTCTTTTTTATTAATTATTTTAAATAACTTCTCCAATTATTTTTTTAAACTATTTCTATGTGGAAATGATAATTATGACTCTAAAAGACAAAATAAAACTTTAATGAACTGGGAGCACACACCGAGTTCGATGCTTCCTTTTATTAAATAGGAAATGTTTTTTAAGACTTAAAAGGAAATATAACAAAAAATGGGTAAAAAGAAAAAAAAATTATTTTTCTATTTAATAAAGGGTTCGCTTTTTCTGCAGTTACTGCATATAGGTTATCTGCAGTAAACCCAATATGATGTCGTTTTGAAGCGAAAATCATGTTGCTTTTGTAATTTAAATTTATTTCAGGATTATTATAATCTTTATAATTATAAGTTTTTATTATTTTAATTCCAAAACGACGTCGTTTTAAGAATAAATGTAGATAACTTATCTGTAGTAACTTCAGAAATATTTTTCTGTTTAATAAAATAGAACATCAAATTCGGTCTGGTGCATTAAAGTTTTTCTCCTAAAAGACACTCCAATTTCCAAAAATAATAAAGCATTATTCGGAAGAACTTTTTTTGAATCAGCTCATTAAATACAAGCTTGATGAGCCCGTGCATTTTTTATTGACATAATTAACAATATCTCAAAGGAACATTACAAGAGCAACAATTATAGAAACATGATCATACAATGCGCATACCTGTTTTTCTCTACTTAGATATGATGAAGTATTTTTCTTTTCAGGGTGTACTGACATTTCTTTAAATCTTCCTCTTTGTTGGCAAGCAACTTATTAGCTTTTATTTGCGGTTTAACATCTTCCACTAATAAGCAAGCGTGTGCTGATGGTTTTTTTTTTACCAGCTTTTTTTTAATAATTAATTATCAAATTGACTCTATTTATAAATTATTTCAAAAATTTAACCTCTTCAGAAAACATAATACCAATCTGTCCATGTTTGACCGTTGACCATGAAGTCTACCCGGGTACACCCCTACCTACTCGGGTATATTTTGAAATTTTTTACTTACCCGGATACACCTCTCCCTACTGGGTATATTTCTTGAATCTAAAAAAATGTTTAAATTATTTACTCGGGTAAAAAGGGAGTGTACCCGGATAAATAATCATAACTTAGTCGAGCGGTGAACGACAACAGAGTGCAAACTAATTGCAGGGAGAGTTGCAAAGAAGGGAAGTGTGCTCTAGAGAAGTTTTATTGGTCCAAAGAAGGGAAGTGTGCTCTAGAGATGCAAACTCCTCTTTCAAAGAGATAATAGCTGAAATATATGCAGATAAGTGCCCGTTCAGCCCTCCAATTTCACTTTCCAATAAATTGATTCTTTCTGTCATCTGTTCAATCACCAAGCATTTTGCAGCACTTTCATAATCAAGTCTCTTGCAAAGTATTCTTCTCCATTAATTTCTGCATACTTTCAGTAATAATTTGTAACTGTGAAAGTAGAATTGACTTCTCATCAACAAGGATGGATTTTTCTTCGTGGAGAACTTGGCAGGAATCTTGAAATTTCTTCACTGTTGCTCTTAATTCATCTATCTCAGTATTCAATCTTGACAAGGAGAATTCCATTAAGGCATTTTCTATCAAAAGTTCATCCATGTCCTTTGACTTTTCTCGAAGAGTTTCTTTCTCATTGCGTTCCATTTTGCAGACCTCCTTCAGCTTTGAGTTCTCATTTTGTAAATCTTCCACAGATGCTGCCAAAAATTTAGGATTCAAACCTAAAGTCTGTAATTGTTGCAGCATAGCCTGATATCTATTATTTAAGTGCGGGATATCATCCTTAATTTGATGAGCTTCCTGCTGGAGGGCATCACTTTCTTCGGCGTTTACAACAAATTCTCGTTCAAGTTTGTCTTTTAGCTCCTTCAATTTAGAGATTTCCATTTGCTGTTCATACAAAGAGGATAGACGCACACAGACAAGTTATGATTATTTAACCAGGTACACCCCTCCTTATTCGGGTAAATAATTCAAACATTTTTCAGATTCAAGAAATATACCCGGGTAGGGAGGGATGTATCCAGGTAGGTAAAAATTTTCAAAATATACCCGGGTAGGTAGGGATGTACCCGGGTAGGCTTCATGGTCAACGGTCAAACATAGATAAATTAGTATTATATTTTCTGAAAAAGTTAAATTTTTGAAATAGTTTATAAATAGAGTCAATTTGCTAATTAATTATTAAAAAAAAAAAAAAAAAAAGACTATAATCATCAAAAGCCGTGTGCTGAGAGTACAGAATATGCAATTGAAAACTGTTATTCTACATAAGAAACATGACTATTTCTTAAATAAGAAAAGACAATCAATGGGCAAACGTAGCCATTCAATCTATAACCCTAATGCAGTATGAGGAGACGTGGAGTGGATCAAATGTGGCAGTCATTCACATGGTAAAAAGAGAAATGTCATTGGCCTATTTTTTAAGGTTCCACATATTGCATAATTAGTTTGCGGATTTTTTTTTTTTTTTGGTAATCAGAAATTTTCATTTTTTTTTTTTGGTGTAGGAAATTTTCATTTTTAAATTAGCCTGGAGGTTGAGTTATTTTGATTTAATAATTTAATAAATAAAAACATCCTATTAAATTTAATTTAAAATATATAATGATTCATGAAAAGTTAAAAAAAAATCCTATGGTATTGCTTTGAATCTCTTACATTCCTATGCTTTTTTTTAATCACTTAATCTTCTATGATTATTTTGATTTACACCGCCACTTAAACAAAGTGCAAAAAAAAAAAAAATAAGACCAAATATTATGCAAATTTAGAACACTTAATAAAAGACTAAAATAAATAATACAAAAAAAAATCAAATGTGTATAAATAAAAAATAAATACAAAAAATAAAATAAAAAATAATGTCAAATATGTTAAAAATCACAACAGTGATAAAAAAGATTTAAATTTAAAAAAAATAGAATTAGATCAATGAAAAAAATACGAAAGACAAAAAATAAAAGAAAAAATTAATATAAAAAATAAAATAAAAAAGAAACAAAAAGAAATCATAAATATGAGTTTTCAATATAACTGGTTTTATTTTTTTATTTTTTTTGTCTTTTATCTATTTTATTCTTTTTTATTTAGATATGCCAGGTTTTTTTATTTTTTTATTTTTTTTATTTTTGGTCTATTTTATTCTAAATTTTTTTGAATATATTTTTCTTCTTTTTTTAGCCTTGTGTTATCCCATCTCTTAAATATTTTTGTAATTTGTTTTTTCAAAAAAGAGAGAGAATAAAATAAAAATATAAAAAAGACCAAACATATGTAAAGAAAAAGAATAAAATAAATCAAGCGTAAAAAAAAATATATATTGAAAATTCATAATTAGGATTTCTTTTTGTTGTATATTTTTATTTTCCTTTTTATCTTAATTTTTTTTTCTGTTTTTTTGTTTTCGGTAGATATTTTTTTTATTTAAACTATTTTTATTTATTTTTTAAGAAGAGAGAGATGGGTGAAAAACAGCGGGGATTAAAATCAGAAAAAACCAGACGGCGCGCAGCTTATAAATATCAAACGATTCCTTACCTTTTAAGAAAATTTCGTTCACTTGTTATCTCCAACTCACTCACACGCTCTCTCTCTCTCTGAATCTCTCTTTCTCTCTTGTTCTGATCTTTCAAGCTCTGAAGCTGAGGCTCCAATTCAAACATAACGACCACGCGCCGCCGCCATTCATTTTATATTTTTTTCTCTCTGTTCCTCTATTTTCGTTCCATTTGATTTTCTGCATTGTGTTTTTTCTGTTTTTGCAGGGTTTCTTAAATTCTTCTTCTTCCATCGATCCTAGAGAATTCCCTCCACAGAATGAACAATTGGGAAAACGTAAGCCCCTCTATCTGTCTCTTGATTTTTGTTGTTACCCAAACAGAAAAAAAAAAAAACCCAAACCCTCGATTACACTCAATGATTCAAAGGTTCTCACTTTTCTTTTCTTTTCTTTTGTGTGGTTTTTGTCGGCAGTTGGATAGGTTCATTCCCAATAGGTCAGCCATGGACTTCAGTTACGCTCACTGCATGCTTACAGAGGGAATGAAGATCAAACAAAATCCAACGGAGGAGGTGACTTCGCCGTCGCGAGAACTCTTCCGGAAGAGACTGGCAGAGGCCTTGAACATGAATAGGACTCGAATTTTGGAATTCAAGAATAAGCCACCACCGCCGGTTGAATTAATCCCAAAGTATATCCTTTCCCCTCCTCCTCGATCTTCCAAACCCATGCGATACATTCCTCAGGTACGTCAAAATGAAAAATTGTTCATTGCCTAATCAGGTTCTTTTTTTAAATTGCATTCTAAGTGTTTGTGAAATTGTTTGTCAGAAATCTGAGAAGACCTTGGAAGCACTTGGCATCATAGACGACTTTTCCTTGAACTTACTAGACTGGGGTAGCAGCAACGTTCTCAGTATCGCACTTGAAGATACTGTATATCTATGGAATGCCGATGATAGCTCCACTTCAGAACTTGTCACTGTTGAAGAGGAAGATGGTCCCATTACAAGTGTTAGCTGGGCACCTGATGGACGCCGTTTAGCCATTGGTTTGAACAATTCCCATGTCCAGCTCTGGGATTGTTTCGATACTAAGCTGGTAGATGTCACACTCAATTCTTGTTTTTATATATATATATATATTTACTATTTTTTTGGGTTTTTATTTTTAAATTGAAATTTATGCATTCTGATTGTTATATGGTATGATTTTTGTGAACGCAGCTGAGAACACTGAGGGGTGCACACGAATCACGAGTGAGTTCACTAGCTTGGAACAATCATATCCTCACAACAGGAGGATTGGATGGTAGAATTGTTAACAATGATGTCAGAGTAAGATCCCACATTGTTGGAACCTACAGTGGACATCAACAGGGGGTGTGTGGGCTGAAGTGGTCTGCCTCAGGAAGACAATTGGCAAGTGGAGGCAATGATAATCTCATTCATATATGGGACAGATCCATGGCCTCTTCGAATTCAACAACTCGTTGGCTTCACAGGCTTGATGAGCACAAAGATGCTGTAAAGGCACTGGCTTGGTGTCCATTTCGGGAAAATATGCTAGCTTCTGGTGGAGGTGCGGGTGATCAGTGCATTAGGTTTTGGAACACAAACACTGGTGCATGCTTGAACTCTGTTAGCACGGGATCTCAAGTGTGTGCTCTGCTGTGGAACAAGAATGAGCGTGAGTTGCTTAGCTCGCATGGTTTAACCCGTAACCAACTCACTCTTTGGAAATATCCTTCTATGGTGAAGATGGCAGAGCTCAATGGTCATACCTCCAGGGTGCTGTTTATGACACAAAGTCCAGACGGGTGTATGGTGGCAACTGCAGCAGGGGACCAGGAACTGCGTTTTTGGAAGGTCTTTGGAACCCTAGCATCGAAGGCAAAAACTGAGCCCTTTGCTAATTTCAACCGTATCCGTTGAAGATCGCATGTATAGGAGATAATGTGTTTTGTCTAAGGGGAGCAATTTTGTATTAATTTTTTTTTTCATTTTGTATTGTTTCCATGACCTTTTTTGTAAGTATATCCTGACAAATGTATAAACATTTAAACATGTACATATTGGGCGAATTTATCTGTACAGAAAGAGCTAATTACTTTGAATGAATGCCATGTACACTTTCAACGATTTTTTGTTTTTAAATTTTTGTGATTTACAATGAATGGAGTTGAGTCTGTGCTTTTGCTTGTTATTATGCAGCTGTCAGTTTTGAAAATTTGAATTAGAATCCTTGAATAGGCTGAACTTGGGAATTTTGCAAATGGGGGTATCTGTATCATGCATGGTGGGTCTATTAGGGAAGAGTAATATGCATGAGTTGAGGTATGTGAGGAAAATATGCATACATTGGGATTTGTGGGGATAACTATGTGGGTTTGTGGGGGGTAATTATGTGGGTTGGGGTTTATGGGGATTACTGAGCGGGTTTGCTTGTTTGTTTGTTATCGTAGTACTTGTTGTGGTTCAATTGGGTCGAATATGTTGATTAGTTTGTACGTGTCTGCTGTTGCATTATATGTGATATTGTTGATTGGTTTGTGTTATTTAAACATGCCTGCTTACATAGATCTAAATCATGGAGATTATTTTACTCATGATAGCCAAAGGGAATAAGTAGGGGTTGAAGTAGATAGATTGGTTTGTCAAATGGGAAGGTTCACCTACTCAAAGTATTAGCGTACATGAAAAACACAAAAACATAAGTTGGGGTTTACAAAAGGCACTTCAATTTGATGGTTCAAATACCAGAGAGGAAAATGAACTTAAACTAAGCTTATTGTAGCACTTATAATAATCTTTTGTACGGGTTGGTATCAGACCATGGGGTCCTCAATACGGCTCTTTTAACACAAGCACCTAGGGCTGAAGTATTTGCATGCACTGTTGGTCAAAAGCCCAGTAAGGTTAAGTACTATCCGGGTGATACTACTGAAATAGTGAGATTGGTGCACGGTTTAGCCTGTTTTTCAAAGCAAACAATTTTATTTTTGTTGTGCTCTCGATAGGTGATCTCATTATTATTATTATCATTATTATTTTTCGTGATATTCCATGTAAATGTAAATTATTCAATTCCTCAAATGTTTGTTTTCTATGTGGAAAAATTGTACATATATATGCACCGTGCTTAGTGCTTTGCTTACTTTAATGCCCAGGGGCTAGTCCCAAAGCTCTTAATGCCTATGTTACTAGTTGTTTTGGATACTGGAGTGGCTCTTTTTGTGTCAATGAAGCTTGTGAGGTATTATTCTGTTCAGCAAGATCTTACTGTACATTTATAAGCAGGGGTATTACTGTCTACAATCATAAAAAATACTTGCAAAGAGGGGTATTAATATTTATCCCTAAACTTCTTAACTTCTATCACTTGTTCTTAAATTTATAAGCAGCCACTTGGTTTCTCATTGCTTCTGATTATTGTCTGTTCTAATATGTACATTTATACATTATTCTGAGCTGCTTTTATAGATAAATTGCAGTTATTACTGCAGAACAGGTTCTACTGCACAACTATATTGCAGGTATTATTCTGAGCTACTTTTATATTGCTATGGTGTGGTGTTTAATATATGTAGCTGCAAAACTACAACTAATGAGGCAGATGCCCAGATGCCATTCTTGGCAATTAGCGGACAGGTGTTTTTCTTTTTTGCTTCCTTTTCGGCTTTAGATACTTTTGATAAAAGGTAATATTGATTCATTACTTACCATGCATTTCTATAGATACTTCTGCAGATTGCTTTCCCTTACACATGTTTCCGGGTTTGTGATTGCAGTTCGGCTGATGAGGTGATAGGGACGTATAGCTGTCTGACCTTGAATTTTTAATATTTTTAAAAGTTGCATTTTATTTTTGATAACAAATAGCTGCCTAACCCCTAGGTGTCTGTGTATTTTCTAACCCTCTATAACAAAAGATTTTCATTTTAATTTTATTTGGATTATATGATTTCAGGATGCATATGTTCTTTGCCGTGTGTTCAAGAAGTTTACAGTGATTCCCCAAAAAGTTGGAGAGCAATATGTTAATGTCACCACCAGCCATGCAAATCAGATTACAAGCGATCAATCATCAAGCATTGAGCTATACTCTGAAAGAAGAGGTAAAGTTTTAGAGAGTTCAAATTATTTGATGCCATGGGATACATTTTCAACTCAAAACATGAATAATGGGAATGTTGTTAATATCAATGGTGGAACAAGGGATAACGGGTTATGGTCGCATTTCTTATCTGAAGACATACTCAATCTTCCAATCTCTTCTTCATTTCCCAATTATGGAGCCATACCTTACCCTCCATCCAAGGTACCTACATGTTTCTTGTACACATAAATTAAACTTTACCTTATAAAATAAATTTCATCTTTTCACTTTATATGGTCTTTTCACAATTTATACATGTACGTAGTGGGCGAATTTATCTGTACAGAAAGAGCTAATTACTTTGAATGAATGCAATGCATGATTGGATTTTTTTTTTTCACTTTGAATTTTTATCTTTCTTTCCCTGATTTTAGTGTTTTTGAGTGTCTCACATCCCCACAAGTCACCTTATTTTGGTGTCAAGTATAAGTCATGAGCACCAGTACTGAGTTGTCCCTAGTAATGAGTTATAACTTTATTTTTTATTTCTGCGCGCGCGCGCGCGCGCGCGCGCGCGCGCGCGCGCGCGCGCGCGCGCGCGCGCGCGCGCGCGCGCGCGCGCGCGCGCGCGCGCGCGCGCGCGCGCGCGCGCGCGCGCGCGCGCGCGCGCGCGCGCGCGCGCGCGCGCGCGCGCGCGCGCGCGCGCGCGCGCGCGCGCGCGCGCGCGCGCGCGCGCGCGCGCGCGCGCGCGCGCGCGCGCGCGCGCGCGCGCGCGCGCGCGCGCGCGCGCGCGCGCGCGCGCGCGCGCGCGCGCGCGCGCGCGCGCGCGCGCGCGCGCGCGCGCGCGCGCGCGCGCGCGCGCGCGCGCGCGCGCGCGCGCGCGCGCGCGCGCGCGCGCGCGCGCGCGCGCGCGCGCGCGCGCGCGCGCGCGTGAAGAAGAATGAAAGTATGAAGTTTGTTCTCCTAAAGTATAGTGGGGAGAAAGTTGGCGTGAGCAATATTCCATATTATTTCGCTTCAGTAGCTGTGATGACTTCTATGCTGGCGGGAAGTTTTTAGGTAGAGATAAACTTAAGGTGCCGTTTTTTTCATGGAATCGTGGTTATGTTACCTACTAGTCAAGTTTAAAGTATAAAGATGAACTAAATCTACTTTTATGTCTATCGAATTTAATTTTAATGCGGGCCTACTAATTTTCTTAAACAAAACAACATGAATTTGTTTTCCTTTTTGCATAATGCACGGTGCTTAGGATTTATTTAATTTTTTTTTTCAAACTAATAAGGTTATGTTTTTCCTATGGTGAATAGATAACAGTTCGATAACTAATACCTATTTATTCCCATGGTAGAGTAGCACAAATGAATAGCACTTAGCAAAGTAGCACAAATTAATGAGTCACAAGTAGCCAAGCTTGTACAGTGGTTTCCAGAATAAGAAATCTTATGTGCCAAGTGATAACACAACTCAATTTATGTCTCAAAATAGATTGAGCAGAATGGGATGATAGGGGCAAGAAAGATCAAACACTTTATATCAGATGCAGAGTCTGATATAAAGTGTGGCCTTGTGTGTAATGTGAGTTACAATTTGCCTGCTCCTGGTGTCAAATTTTCATTAATCAAACCGTAACTTCATTTTGTGCATAGTTTTAATTGAATAGGTCACTATGTCTACCATTTCATTTCGATATCTCAATTCTAATATCAGCACATCCATAAAGTGCAATTGTAAGTAATAAATGAACCTATAACTGCTGATATTTGTTGTTGTGAATGCCCCAATCTTACTAAGATGTTAATGTCGAGTTGTACTTGAAATAAGGGTAAACCTGAATAAATAACGTGTAAATTCCGAACTGTGTGTATGTGTGTTGTACTTGAAATAAGGGTAAACCTGTGTGTGTGTGTGTGTGTGGGGAAATTAAAAGTAAAAGTAAATGTTGTGTGGGGAAATGAGAACTATGATAGATTTGGTGCAGTATATGGTGCCTCCACTCTTATGTATTTATATATGTACAGAGATAATGTGGGTATGTAGAAAATATGATTTACCCGTGTTTTAGAGCAGCCATCATGTGTAGGTTGCAACCCCCGAAACTATTTTTTTTTTTTTTTGAGATTCATCCTAGATGCTAGGCGTTAAAATGAGTGCTGAACTTGTATTGTTTTGTATGGATGGTTATGAGTAAACCAAGGTGTTAGGCAGCGTGTAATCTTTGGGAAACTTTATTGTAGATGCATGTTGTGAGTGCCTACCTCTCTTATGTCGTAATTTCAGTATGAAGATGATCTAATAGGGGTCAACACTGTTTTACGTAGGTTTAGAGTTCTCCCTTGGCGGAGAATAAATTCCTACGATATTTGCTACTAAGTAAATTTATATGAAGTTTTTATTTTATTCAGCTGGAACCTTAATAGTCCTCAAGAAATAAATTACTTGAATCAAATTAGCAAAGTGAAGTATCAAGACTGATTGGCTATGTTACAACGAAATAACTTCATGACATGGCTATTGTTATTGCCTAAATATGTCATAATAAAGTTCCTAAGTCGAAGAATGGTTTGTGGATGGAATCTACTGTGTTACGGCTGGTATATGATTGTGAATTTTCTGTTAGATGAAATTGTGGAGCCTAGTAAGTAAATTATGACTTTTATGCTTAGTATTCTCTTATCTGAAGACATACTCAATCTTCCAATCTCTTCTTCATTTCCCAATTATGGAGCCATACCTTACCCTCCATTCAAGGTACCTACAAGTTTCTTGTACACATAAATTAAACTTTACCTTATAAAATAAATTTCATCTTTTCACTTTACATGGTCTTGTTCCTCATATATACACATGATGATTTGATTTGCAGGTTGATACAGCACTAGAGTGTGCAAGAATGCAGCATAGGTTTTCCATGCCTCCATTGGAGGTGGATGACTTTCCACAAGTTGGCATTTCTCATGAGCTGAAAATGACACAAGCCTCGGGTTCCATGTGTGGAAGCAGAAATGAAAAAAATATCTTGCAGGAAAT